CGCGCCGCCCGCGCCATCGGCGGCGCGGCGGCCGCGCCTGGCTGCCACCGCCGCGGCGGCAGCGCGGGGCGGTGGGGGGCACAAGCCTCGCTCGCCCCGCTTCCAGCGAGTCGGCAAGCGAGCACGACCGCGAGAGCTGCTGCCCCGCAGCCGGGGGCCCAGGGCCGCCGCCGGGACACCCCGCCCGAGCGGCTGGCGCTCGCAGAGGAGGGGCCTTCGACGGAGGCGAGCCGCTGCTTCGCCCTGCCGCCGCCGCGCGGCAGGGGAGCCGACGGGGCAGGATGCGGGCAAGGTTTATGTCCATATCCACTGCGTCTCGGGCTCTGTGGGAAGGGGCGCCACAAGGCCGAGGCAGAGTGGATCCGTGGATCGCATTGCAGCATCCGCAAGGACCACTCTTGTGCCCAGATCCACGGCGCCTCGGGTGCCCGAAACTCCCACGGGGCAGAGGGTATGGGCATGCATCTTGCCCACAGCAGGGAGCGAGCAGGGCGAGCTGGCACGCCTCGGTGCGAGCTGGCACGGGACGGGCGGGCTCGGCCGAGGGAGGCCGCGGGCCGAGGAGGGGTGCGGCGCGCCTGCCGAGCCGCCTGGCGGGCCACAGGGCCTGCAGCAGCCCAGGGCGGGCCACAGCGCCTGCGTGCGCTCCGTGGACGGAGCCGCTCGGGGCGGGCCGCAGCTCAGCTCAGCTCAGCTCAGTGATGAAGCTGCGCAGGGCGGACAGCGCCTGCGTGCGCTCCGTGGACGAAGCCGCTCAGGGCGGGCCACAGCTCAGCTCAGCTCAGCTCAGTGATGAAGATGCTCGGGGCGGACCACAGCGCCTGCAGCAGAAGCCGAGGAGGCAGAGGAGCCGCGGGCGACGCGAGGACGGATGCTGCAGCTGGAGCCGCGACGGCGCTGGGAAGGCTGCGCCGACCTGGATGCAGACGAAGTGGGAGTGCCAGTGTGGGCGCATAGTCGGCGACGCCGACTGGACGTGCAAGTGTGGCGGCACCTGGGCCCAAGGCGGCATCAAGAAGCCACCCGCGGCGGAGGACGAGGAGGAGGAGGAGGAGGAGGAGGAGGAGGAGGAGGGCCCCAATATTGGCTCCAGGGCCGCCGACGCGGCACAGGGGGACGAGCCAGCAGCTCCTGCGGCAGCACTGGCCCACCCAAGGTCCAAAGGGTTTTACCCTCCGCCCTGGGCTGCCGCAGGTGCAGCGAGGCTTGCGGGGACTGCGGGAGAAAGCTCGAGGCAGAGTCCTGGCAGATCGGGCGGCCAAGCGGCCCTTCGGCGCGGTCGACTGGAGATCGTAGTTCTACGATGCTCACGGCCAGCAGCCGGGCGAAGCAGACTGGCAAGGCTTCACGCAGTGGAGACGACGCAGCTCGAGGTGCTGGCGGTGACCCGCTGAACTCGACGATACTGGGAGGCGACGCCCGTGCCTTCCTGGATGTCGATGCTGTTCCCGGCACCCCCACACTGGAGGGTGAGGCGGCTGCGCTGCTGGCCGCTGCAGCGTTGGCGCCTCAGGCCCCAGAGAGCGAAGGCGAGGACGAAGATCCCAAGGACGACGTCATAACAGAGGGCATGTGAATACTTGCTTGTTGCCCGAGTGCGCGCGGCCTTGATGCGAGAGCCCCATTTTGAAAAGGAGCCGACCTCCATCCGTGCACAATAGATACATCCGCCTTCAGTCCTCACTCCTGGATCCAAAATTACCAAATCTTCTTGGGCTTGCCTTGGCTTCTCGGGGGCTTGCCGAGCTTACCGTGTGACTTGTTCGTGCCAGCATCGCCCCAAGAGTTCCAAAGATGGCCCCAAGACGGCACAAGAAACCTCCAAGACGCCCTAAGACGCCTCCAAGAGGCCTCCTAAGAGGGCCCCAAGAGGCCAACAGCAATGAGTTCCCTCTGGCTTCTGCCGGATATTGGCGTTCTCACCTTTTCGGCTTCCCGACGCTCCCAGACGGCCCTAGAGGCCCCCAAGATCGCCCCAAGACGGCCCCAGAGCCCCCCAGGAGGGCCCCAAAGCGGCCCAGGAGGGCCCCAAGACGGCCCAAGAGGCGCGCAAGACTGCCAAGGGCCCCTCCACGAGGGGCCCCCAGGAGGCCCCAGAGAGGCCCCAGAGAGGCCCCGAGAGGCCCCCAGCAGGCCCTCAACAGGCCCCCAACAGGCCCCCAGGAGGCCTCCAAGGGGCTCCCGAGAGGCCCCCTAGACCTGCCCCCAAGAGGCCCCGCTCCGAGGAGAATCCACGGAGCACCCCTCGGAGCTCGGACCCACAAGCCAGGCACGGTGACGCGAGGGGCCGAAGGCCACTCGACCCGGGGCCATGCCGGCAGGGAAGCGGAAGGAGCGCCTCGGGAACCTGCCCGAGATGGCTCATGGCACCCTTCGCTCTTGGGAGCCTTGGTGTGAAGAGCTGGTTGCGTCGCCGTCTCCGTTGGGAGCCCTGGTGCTCAGAGACATTTCCGTTGCCGCTCGCTCTTGGGAGCCTTGGTGTGACGAGCTCTTTACGTCACCGCGCTCTGGTGAGCCGTGGTGTCAAGAGCTTGTTACGTCCCCGCTTGCTGATGGGAGCCATGGTGTTATTGAGCGTCTCTTGGGGCGTCTTTGAAGCCTTTGGCCGTCTTGGGGCTCTCTTGGGGGCCTCTCGGGACCCTTTGGGGAGCTTCTTTGGGCCCTCTTTGGGCCTCTTGGGCTCTCTTGGGGCCATCTTGGGGCCCTCTTGGGCCGTCTTGGGGCCCTCTTGGGCCATTTTGGGCCCGTCTGGGGGCCCTCTTGGCAAATTGTCAGCCCTTTTGGGGCGCCTCTGGGGCCGTCTTGGAACGATATTTGGGGCCTCTTGGGCCGTCTTGGGCCCTTCTAGGCCCGAAAGGAGGAGAACCCGAAAGATCTGTAAAAACCTATGGAAAGCCCTCTCGTTTGGGGGCCCTCTTGGGATGTCTTGGAGCCCTCTGGCCGTTGCATCCGAAGCAATACGAAGAAACAAGCCATGGTAGCCGCCCGGGAGCCGCTTCACTCGAAAAAAAACATGAAACACTTGCCATTACCATTCACCCAGGCCCGCCCTGCCCCCCCCCTGCACCCCCCCCTAGAAGGCTTCGCCCCACCAGAACGTCATCACTCGTACCTCGCTCTTTCCGTGATCTGCTTGGCATAGGGACGGAAAGCGCGGGTTCGTTCTGGAGGGCGCGAGGTCGATGGCTAGCTAGTGTCTTGGAGCCTTGCTGGTGTGAAGGCTGTGGCACGACATACCAAAATCCAACAACAAACCTTGCGACAATCAATGAGTATTGCATTTCCGGGCCTTCCAAGATGGCCCCAACAGGGCCTCAAGACGGCCCAAGAGGCCTCCAAGAAGCCCATGATGGCTTCCAAGACGGCCCTGAAGCGCACCAAGAGGGCCCCAAGTCGGTTCAGAGAGGCCCCCAAGACGGCTTCCGACGGCGTCAGACTGGCCAGGAACGCCCTAAGACGGCCAAAGAAGCCCCCAAGAAGCCCCGAACGGCCCCCAAGAGACCCAAGGGGGCTGCCAAGAGGCCTCCGAGAGGCCCACAAGAAGCTCCCAGAAGGCCCCAAGAGTCTTCCTCAATTCCTTCCCCTAACAGATAACTTCTCCATGTCGCACCGCGAGGCCGGTCGGAAGGGCTAGCCGGGCGTTTGGACTGAGACTTCCTACCACTCATGACCCCCAAGCTTCAAGATGTGCAACGGGCCGCGTTCAAAATGTGGCTCTCGTCCCAGCGCCGCGGACTTCCTTTCCGAACAAATACCTGAGTTTTACGGGTTGAGGCGAGTCGTTGTCAAAATGTGGTTCTCGCCCTAAGAGCTTCACAGATGGAGGGCGGCTCCTTTTCAAAATGTGGCTCTCACCAGAGCGCCGCGAACATTCGTTTTAAACAGATGCAAGGGTTCCACATGTTCTCATGGTTAACATACCAGATGGCGTCGACGAGGGATCGTCAGGGCGCACCAGCTACGTTATTCGCGGTATTGAAATCACAGAAGTGGCGTTCTGGTGCGATTCAGCATCGTCAAGACGCAACAGTGAGAATGATCCGTGGCGTTGGAGTCCCAAACATCGTGCTCTGGCACGGTTCAAGATTTTCTCACGGTTGTCTCCCAGCGGGGCACTTCCCTGAGTGGACATGGATCCCAGGGGCCTATGAAGAGGGAGCTTGGAGGGAAGGCTTACTGCAACATCTTCAACCCGTCTTGGGCTTCTCCTCCTCCCTCCTCATACACAGCCTCCTCCTCGTCCTCATACTATTCCTCCTCCTCCTCCTCCTCCTCCTCCTCCTCCTCCTCCTCCTCCTCCTCCTCCTCCTCATTATCATCCTCCTTCTCTCCATGGCTCCTCCCTCTCCTCCGCAATTTCTCTCTCCCCCACGTGTTCCCTGCAAGGTTTCCACAACGGCTGGGGGAACACAGAGTCCGATAGCTTGGCAGAGCTCTGGCCACAACGTTCGGCCACATGAGCGACTAGGGGGCGGCGGTGATTCGCCGTGGGCGTCTCCGATACGATAAGAAAGCTTGACCTGAGAAGTCCTGGGGCACAGCATCTGTCGATCACTGAGGATCCCAAGGTGCCCCAGAGCTCCTGTAGGCCCCCGGGGCCATCGGGGGATCAAACACTTCTGTGGGGCACCTGCTGGCAGGCCGACCTCTTCTCTGATGCGCCACTGCAGCTGCTGGAGCATCGTACAGCGAGCGCGCGCGGCTACGGCGAGATCCCCACGTTGAAGAGCATCTGCGCTCCAAAGACGAGGGAGCCCGGCGCCGGGGCGAGAGCCCCATCTTGAGAGCCACGTGCCCCGTCCGTGCAAGTGCTGGAAATCTCCAGGCTCGGGAGCAGAGGCGGTGAGGCCGAACGCCTGGCCCACCCCACGACAAAGCCTGGGGGTGCGACAGGGAGGAGCTCTCTGGGCGAGGGATGGAGGGAGGAGGGAGGAGGGAGGAGGGGGAGAGAGGAGGGAAAAGAGAGAGGCAGGCAGAGGGAGGGAGGAGAAGGGAGGAGGGGGGGGAGGAACAGCCGCGGCGGCGGCGAAGTCAGTCTCAGCCGCGCGCGCGCGCGCGCCCCGCCGCCGGGTTGGGAACAAGAGGAGGCCGCCGTCCGCCGCGGGCGCGCCGCTCTCGGAGGCCCCGCGCGCCGCTCGCGGAGGCCCCCGCAGAGGCGGCCCGGACGGCCCTCGGAGGCCCTCTGTGGGCTGGGGCGCGGCGAGGGCCGGCGGTGAAGGCGGCCCAGGCGGGGCGCTCAGTCGAGGCCCCGCTTCCTGTCGGCCGCCAGCATCGTCGTGACCTGGCCGTCCTCGGCGCCGAGCCAGCTGAAGAGGTCGGAGGGCCCGTCGAGCTCGGCGAGGTCGGTGGTGAAGTTGTTCATGATGCCGGTGCCGTAGCCCTTGCCGATGAAGTTGTAGAGCCCGGGGCGGGACACCTGGCAGCTGGGCCGCCGGGGCACACATCCACGTCGTGGCCGCTGCCGGAGTCCTGCCCCTGGACTTTCCCCGGGGAGCGGTGGGTGCGGGCACCATCTCGCCCTCAGGGGCGGGCAGGTGCCCATATCCCGCACTCAGATCCGGGGGCACGACTCCGCGGCAGTGGATACAGCGTCTATGTGCTGGCGGCGGATACCTCCATGTGGGTCATGATCACCTGCTCGCTGAGGCACTGGTACGACTCGTCCTGGTCCTTCGTGATGCGGAAGCACTTCTCGAGCTCCTCGTAGAAGAGGGCCACCACGTCCTCGACGATCCGGGCGGGGATGACCCACACGGTGGCCGCCACGCAGTGGCCGAAGCGATAGTCGCCCTCCTTGAAGTTGCCGCAGTACCCAGTGCCACTGGCGGAAATCTTGTCCGTGGGGAGCTTGGCGAGCCTGCTTGCAGACGGCCACGGCTTGTTTCCCCAGGCAAGCATGTTCTTGTCCATCTCCGCCCCGCCGTGCATGCCAATGTCCAGCCACGCGTACCAGTCGTAGCCAGGGTACTTCCGGAAGGATCGCCCGACCAGGCTGAACTTGCCGTCCCAAATGCAAGCCAGCGTGATGGAGTGCATGTGAAGCGGGTGCGTGTACTTCGAGACGTTGGCGCGCATCTCAGCCCCGTGCGACTTGCAAGGCTCCAGCGACTCGATCTCCAGCACCTCTGCACCTGCCAACGCAGGCTTGGCCTCGCCCCTGGCGAGCTGCATGTTCTCCACGCCGAAGGCGTCGCCGTATATGGCGATGTCTGTGTTCAGCGACATGACCTTGTGCATACTCTTCAGGTAGCCACCCGGCCCGTTGCGGAGCCCGCCGGCATCCGCGTGGCTGTTGTCCAGCCTGCAGTGCCCAGCTCCCGAGATCCCACGTCGCGGAAACAACTACGCATCGACTGAAAACCACGACCGGGGACCCCAGACCCAACCCTTCCGCGCCAGTCCTCGAGCCCGATCGGTCCATGAGGACCCCCGGAGCCCGAGTCTGGGCTGAAGGGCGACGCCAAGAACTCCGGGCTGTCTTCCAGCAGGCGCGGGCCCCACGGCTCTCGGCCCGGGCCCACCAGGACCGCTCCCCCCGCCGCTGGGGGGGGGTCCTTTCGGGCCCTGCGGGCCCGCCGAGGTGGCAACACTTCCCGCGCTCGACGGGAGAGCCCAGCATCGAATCGAGAAGTGGGATCGGAGACCGAAGTGGATCGGATCGGCGGAGATCGGCAGCCAGGTCGTGAGAGGTCGAATCGTTGGGAATCGGCAGGCGAATCAGGCCCCCATGGAGAAACCGAACCCCCGACCGCGATCCGAAGACGGACCACATGGGGATCGGAATCCGTCGACATCGCATCGGAACCGAACCGAATCGAGCCGGAGGAACCGAAAAAGTCCCCCGGGGGTGGAGGCAGCCCGCCGAGGTGGCAGAGGCTTCCCGCGCTCGGTGACTCTTCGCGGCGCACCGAGGCCTCGCCCTGGGACCCTGGGGTTGGGTCCGGCAAGAGCGACTACAGGCGGTCCACCGCCACATCGCGCGAAGCAACTCAAACTCTCAACTCGAAGCCAGAACATGCGAAAAGCTCAAAGCCCCCCCAAGAAAAAACGCAAAACACATCTCGAAGCCCAAACCTGCGAAAATCTCAGTACCCATAGAAACGCATAACAGTCTCTAAGAAACCACCTGGGAAAGTCTCAAACCCTAAAAAAAAATGCAAACCGATATTTAAGCCAAAATCTGGGAAAGTCTCAAACTCTAAAAAACTATCTAAGCCGAAACCTGGGGAAAATCCCACCAACCAAAAAAACTTGGAATCGAAACGCTAAAACAACGCTTTGAAACAACGCTACAAAACAGTTTAAACAGCTTACAATCATCAAATCAGTTTAAACAAACCTATTCCAACGCTCTAAAACCAAACTTCAAACAACTCTAAACGCCTGACAACTCTAAAAAAAACTCTGGAAAACTATGAACGACACTTTGAACTAACAACTTTTAAACAACTCTTTTCAACAAAAAACGCGGTAGACAAGCCATAAAAATGTCGAAACGCA